GACCATCAATTGCCAAACTTCGGGTAGTAACCTTTGATTAGTAACAGGGCACAGGGTAACCTTCGGGTCCTGCAGTGCTTGCGGATCTGAATTGCTTGCCAGTGTGTGCCACTGCTCAAGCAGTTTTGCAATGCGGAAGCAAGAAAAGGAATAAGGAGGAGAAAATGAAAACAAATGTATGGACGATCAAGAAGAGTGAGCAGCTTTCCCTGTCCTGAGGCTTTAGGCAGTTGGCGTGTGAGTGTGCTTGCTTACAGAAGGGGTTAGTGTGTGGTATCTCTGCCGAGGTTTGGGTTGCTGCCAAAAGTCCCAAGTTAATTCTTTCTGTGCATCTGCCTACCTTGGGGAAAAGCAGGGCCCTTGCACCGATTCTAACGTGCAAGTGCTTCAGGCCAAGTTTGCTGAACCCGCATGTGCCTTTGGCCCTCGATTTTTAGCAGAAGCAAGGGGCTGTGTATCTTTTCACCACTTTGCGACACTTGCCGAATCACCGTGTGCTACCAATTCCTCAGCACTTGCAATACATCGAGCTGCACACTTCCCCAGCACTTTGCTCGACTCACTGAATAGGCTTTTACTACAAGCCCCAGATTTTAGTAGTACCAACGGGCAGTGTTTTCCCAGTACTTTTGCGGCTGGCTGAATCTGTATGCCCATGCACCTGCTCACAGAAAGGCCTGCTGGGACTCGTGGGTCAGCACCAGTGCAGTGTTGACCTGGTCTTCAAGGGGAAGAATGAGCAACCGGTGAAGCGAGCCACAGTGAAGTCGGGCACACCGGATGCACCCAAGACGGAGGAGCTGCCTCTGTACACCACACAAGACAGCATCGCAGGAGAGGTGGGAGCTGTTTATTTTGAAAAAGTGCCAATTGTAGTGACATCAACAGTCAACAATAGGGCAGAAAGAATGGACGACTAGAAGAGCGGACAGGAACAGAAAAGTGAAAACGTAGGAAATGCAGAAAGAGAAGTGAGGAGCTGCAGCTTTGCACCATGCCAAGGGACATCTTTGTAGAGGCCGGGTCTGTGCCATCTCCGGCATTGAGGCTTGGTCGTCTCTGTCTGCCAAGTCATCGCTTTCAAGCTAACTTGGAGAATGAAAGAACAAATGTATTGCTGCAGGCGAGGCAAAAAAGGTCTCACTGGTCTGGCACACGTCTGTAGTGAACTCTGGCATCAGACAGCATTAATTCGCAGGCTGCTCATGATGGCCTTGCAGAGCCATCACAACAGAAAGGGAAGCATGTTGTACCATGGTCGTACATTCCCTTTGTGTGAGTCTGCCCATGAGATACATCTCCAAAGTCTGGATGGCTGCACAGAAGTTTTCGAGCACAAAGAGTTCAGTGTAAGAGGCAGCAAAAAGGAGTTCTTTTTGTGGGCTTGTCTGCCGAAAGAAAAAAAAGGAGGAAGAGATGAGCCCCTTTCTCCTTGACAGGACAAACAGATCCAAGCATTTATCCAGCCAGACAGCATCTCTGGTGATGATCGCCCTTGGAACGAAGTACACACGCAAAAAATACCATTATCAAATTAGTCGTGCAGCATATAATGGTATCAGTATACCAAAAGTGTAAATGGAACAAAAACTTGCCATGGTATGCAAGATGGTGCACAAGTCCATGTGGAAGGCTCATGTTGAGCTGGCCATGGTCAAGAGTCATCTTGTCAAGCAAAGCCAAGACAGAACTGGAACATTTCACTTTGGAGATGATTCTGCTGTGGATCGAGTCCTGTACTTGACGCAGAACTGCAACCTGAATCTCATCCATTTGACGGGGCCAGTGTTGTTCGCCTGAACTGATGGTGGATGTGTTTGCGGTATGGCAGGTGCGTCTGTCCCCCGTTCCTGGGAAGAAACTGGAGCACACAGGCGTCAGGGTGCAGCTGATAGGCCAGATTGAGCTGGCAGCCGACCGCGGACACTACTACGATTTCCTGTCCCTTGGTGAGTGAAGTAGTTCAGTTGAGAAGCTCTGTAGGTTAGGTTCATTTGCAGGTGCGCAAAGTAGATTAATTCCTCAGCGGTAGCAGGGATCGAGCGGAACAATGATAACAGTGACATCTTGGGGGTGGGCTGGTGCACATGGGTTTGCGCAGCTCTTTGGCAACTGACCCTGGCCACCACTTAGGTGACTTGAGATTGATGGCACTTAGGTTAGCTTAGCACTGGCAGCATTGGGCAGGCTAGATGAGGCAGTGCGGCGCTGGGAAGCTGGAGTGAACGGGTGTGAGGGTGCTGGTGATTGGCCCTATAGGGTTTAATTGCATTAGTATGTGTATGGTTACTTTCTTATGTGTCATGTATTGGTCGTATTTGTGCTGGGAACCAGAACGATTTCTTGTCCCCAGATGTGTCACCCACCTTTGCCAAGGATGAGGACTGTCCTTTGACGGCAACCTTTCAGGCAGAATGGGTAGAAGGCTTACTAATGCCAACACCCAGTACCGGCATTTGCTACCAAGAACTGGCTTTCTGTAATTACTTTTGGCACTTGGCAGTTTGCAGATGTACCCACTTTTCTTCAAAGGGTACAAGTTGCACTTGTTTGGCGATGCCAGACACTGTTCCCATCCACAGGTGTTGGTCTCAAACAAAAGGCTGTGGCAATGTACTGTGATACAACACTGAAGCAGAGTGCTGCACCTTTTGGTGGACCACACAAGTACTGCATATATGTTACAGGAGCTGTATCCAGGAGTGCTGATCTCTGCAGTTGCCTTAGTGTCCGGCTTCCTCAGGAAATGGTAAAGTCGGTCTGCCCCAGCTGACAGTCAGTGGCTACACCAGTAAATCAGGTGGCCGCTACTCCAATCTTTGCTGAGTGAGCAATTGGTGAGCCTCACCGATTGCAAACTGTGTGCATTGAGGATGCAAACAAAGTTGCATTGCAGATGCCAATTCACAGCAGGTGCCATTGGTATTCACTGAATGTTGCCTTTCCACGCCGACACACTTGTGCTGGAACACTGCAATGCGGCCCAAATCCAGGTGTGTAAAGTACTGGAGTGTTAGCACATACGTGGTGGTGTTTGCATGGATAAATATCAAAACCTAGTCACCTTTGCCTGAAATGTTTTTCAGCCCATACATAATTCTTTGTTTTGGTCCATTCACTTCTGTTTTTTTACTCTTCTTCTGTGCATCAACATTCTGCTGCTACTTCTGCTTCTACTGCTTCTACCACTACTTGAAGTACAATGTTCCAGAGGGAAGCAGCAGTAGTAGCAGAAGAAGAAATACTATTTGTTTCAGCTTTGGAGTTAACGCCCACGGCATGCACATGGATGATGGAGACATTGTTGATCGCCTTTTAACGATCTCGACCAGTTTTGACAGTGTTTGACCACTGACTGCAATTGATGGTTTGTTGACATTCGCCCTTGGCTGCTGACAGCTCGGGAGCTGGCTCCCCCTGGAGACATGATGACGATCGAAACTTTCTCCTTCGAGTTCAGCAACGTGGAGCTGCTGTACGAGTCCTACAGGGGCAAGTCTGCGCGCTGCAGGTGGGCATGGCAGCCAGCATTAGGATGGGGATAAATAAGCAAAGAAATGAATAAATGAATAGAAAGTAAATAAGTAAATAATCAAATAAACAGATACAAAGTTAAAGCAAGCAAAAGAAAATAGGAACAATAATAGGTAGTAGGAATAGGAATAGGAATAAGAATAGGAGTAAGAACAATAATAGGAAAGGATTAAGAAGGGCCAGCGGCTGTGGACTGCACAGCCACTGCCTGATCCATTTCCTGTTGCTGTGCGCCGTGTGCACTTAGATGTCTCTCCTTTGTCACTACGTGCTCCCCATCCATCAACAGGATTTCATTCCTCAGCAGTGAGTGCAACCATTATTCGACAACACAGCAATAGTGTGTGGCAGTTGATAGCAATGGGTAAGCAATAGCTGCTGGTCAGTTGCTGGGTGCATATGTCCAGCTTTTCTGTCGTTAGGGCGTTCTCCTTTCTGTCTACCAGTAACATTTTGCCAAACGTCAAGTGTTCATTACCACAATGAATGAGCGAATGCCATTTTGTAATCATTAGAAACATGTAAGACTTGTGTGTGCAGTTTTGTCAGGGACCGGTGATACATTCCACTGTGTTTTCGATCCCCAGGATCAAGCAAATTGTGTTCTGGCAGGGGACTTTGTACTTTCATAGTACCTTGTTGAGTGCTGGAAGGGGGCTTGGCACTTTCTAATGCTCAGTTGCACCGGCATTTGTGCTGAAAGGGTGTTCCACCATGCTGCAGTCATCACCATTTTCTACGAGTCTGTTAGGCATCATTTGTTGGCCAACAAGTTTGGTTGACGTAAATCATGGATGTGAATACAATTGCATCCTCAAGGGTAAGCCACCCAGTGCAAATGACTTTTGAACATTGGAACCACAACAGGTAATGTCGCTGTTCACATTCTGCTACCATATCACACACTTGTCCACTACCAAACACCACATGGCATTGACCCAGAATTCCAAAGAGTGCGTGTGACCATGAGTTAACTGCTATGGGTCATCTGCGTGTAGGTACTTGCTAAGGGTGACGGTTGTTGGCAAAGGCATCCACGCCAGTAACGTGAAGGACTTCCAGTTCTGGGTGCGCAACTATGACATCCCACCCCCTGTGCAGGATGCGAATGTCAAGGTGCGCCTGAAGAATTTGTTGCAAAGTACTGCAGCGCAGCATTGTAGTAAGGCACTGCAGCACGAGGGTCCAGCAAGGTACTGTGCCATGAAGTGGCTTAGTGTTGGCACATTCAATTTGGCAAACGACTGTATGACTTCACAGAAATTGAATGCAAGTTCCAAGTCGTGGATTGGAACTCAGATTTTTTGAATCGGGGCATCGCATCAATTAAATTGCATCTGAATATAGTTAAACACAATATCAAATTGAACTCGCAAATGGTTTTCTGTACATTTTAAACAATGTGAATTGTGAATTCCATCCTTGCAGAGTTGGTAGAGTTGGTGCAGATGGAGTTGGGCATTGGAGACTGCCTGCACATAGATTTCGAGTAAACCAAGGGCACAGTACTGTAAACCAATGTGACAAAGTACTCTGGCAAGTACTGCAACAAATGTGCAAATCTTGGTGCATCCAACTTCAGGTTAAAATTTCGCAAGAGCCCCTCTTCTGGTTCCGAGCACCCGCCTTTTGGGAGTATCTTCAGATGGAGGTTGGCATCGGGGAGTGCCTCCCCATCAAGCTTAAGTACAGTCAGGGCATGGTTACCACAAAGTACTGTAGCAAAGTGCTGCAGCAAAGTACTGTGTACAACCTGCTGTGGCAATGTATTGGAAGCAATGCCTCAATTTCAGTCCAACCCACCCAGTCTTCAGGTCGAGGACAGCATCGAGGGGTGCCTCCACAATGAGTCCGAGTACAGCAAGGGTTCAGTTATCAGAAAATCACAGTACCAAAATACAGCAATGGATTCCCCGCTCTGAGTGCATCCTACCTAATCTTCAGATGGACGCTTGAATCGATAGGTGCCAGCACAGCCAGTTCAAGTACAGCAAGAGCACAGTACTGCAAACCGCTGTTTAAAAAGGTACTGCAGCAAAATACTGTAAAACATACTGCAGCAGGTGCAGCCATGAATGCCCCAGTCTGAGTGCATCCCACCCAATTTTCAGATGGAGGTGGGCATCGAGGAATGCCTCCACATTGAGTTCGAGTACAGCAAGGGCTGGTACAACCTGTGTGACGTGGTCAATGGGAAGATCTACTTTCTGCTGGTGCGCATCAAGCTGAAGTACATGGAGATCGAGATCCGCCGGCGGGAGACCACGCGTGTAGGGTCCAGCCCGCGAAACGAAACAGAGATCATCGGCAAGTACGAGATCATGGATGGAGCGCCCGTGCGGGGCGAGACTGTGCCTATCAGGTGGGAGTGGGCTGTCGAATAGCGACCTGCAACGACGTTTCAGCTGAATGAATTGGAATGCTGATAAATTGGATTTTGGAATCAGCGGTTCCAAAGCATTGGGGCCATTTCAGTGTCCAGTACTTGGGGCCTTTGATGCTCTGTTTTATTTGATGCCCAACACTTTTAATGTACAGGGCTCACCAAGCAGTGTTGCTTAGTGCATGCGCTACATACGCTGTACATTGCTTAGTGTATTGCTTGGCTCATGCACTACTGGAAATGGCCATTTCCACCAGTGACATGTTGGTATTTTGCTGTACTTGATGTACCAATTTTTCCTGAAGGGGTGTTTGATGTGTGGGCGTGTGGGGGGTGCCGCTTCAGCCCCCTGTGCGGACAGTGGCTCTGTCCCCCCTTTGATTTGACGCAGTGGATCGGCTTGTGTGGTCTCTGATTGCTCGTTTGGCATTGTGCTTGTTCCGTTCCCTGAATACGCGTGACGAAACGAGAGTCTTTGCATCAGAGTCTTCGATATGTCGTTGAGATATATCGCTCAGATATGCCGCTTAGATATATCGTTTAGATATGTCGTTTAGTTGCATCGATTAACGAGAGCCCCTGTGGGATGAGGGGTGCTGCGGCGTCCATACAACGTTTGTCCGTGTCATTCAATTGTGATGCTGGCACCCAGGCCTCCGGTTGTGTACTGTGTGCTTCTTCCCATTTGTTTCCTCCGATCGTGTATTATGTTGTGTAGTATGTTGTGTGGTATGTTGTGCCAGTCATTATTGTGTCCCCCCTGGTCCTTCATAACATGTTGGGCCATTTGGCTTCCTCTGGTTGTGTATTATGTGCTCCTCGTCAGTTGGTTTCTTCATAGTTTTGCGCCTTTTCGTTCAATATACTACCTGACACCAGGATGCGTTTAACGCCGTCCAACCTCTCATTCACCAAAACGTTCGCAACAAAATCGCCGTGACGTGTTTTTTAAGTGCAGCTCTCAACGTCATTCATTTGTGGGCGTTGTGGACGCTGCGCTCCCACTGATGTGCTGCAACGTGAGTGCTCCCAGTACACTGTCCTCGAAGTACTGCTGCTTAACTACTGACGATAAATGTACTGCCTGCTGTGCCAGGATGTACCTCACGCCGTACGACCTCACTCCCACATACGAGAATGTGCACAATAAGTTCACCGTCAAGTACTTCCTGAACTTGGTGCTTGTGGACGATGAGGACAGGCGGTACTTCAAGCAGCAGGAGATCCAGCTTTTCCGGTTCAGACCCGAGCCCAAAACGTCCTAAACCAAATCGGGATCCGTTAGGCCCTATCGCAGACATGCTGTGCTGTCAGTCTGGCTCCGGTATGTCCTGGTATTGACGTGGCAGGTCCCATCAAGGATCCATCGGTTCCCAGCATTCGCGCGGGCAAACTCGTGAATTTGAGATTCTCGCCCGGATAGCTGGACGCCGATTCGGAAGAGAGTGTGGCTGGCGAATGTGAAGGTCATGCGAAGCTGCCTGGAGTTGGGTGGAATGTGGTGTTTGATGAATCTATGGGTTGGAGATATCGATTGTACGCATTTGCTTGGAATGTATTGTGCATTGTTGTGTAGTTTGAGCGCCGGTTTCCCCAAAAAAAGAAAAAAAAAACGTGCCGCACGCTTGGGCACTCCTGGGCAGAATTGGTTAGGCTTTTCTGCTTTGTGACGCTATGGGAATTGCCGATTGGCCTTATGTACGCATGAGCGTGAGATGCATTGTAGTACAACCGCAAAATAGAAAAAGCAGAGAGAACGAGACAGCCAAGGAAGGAAATGGAAGCAGGTCATAGTGTGTGGGGGTGTATTTGTGCCAACGCAAGGTTAATTCTGTTTTGGGGAAAAGTGGTTTAAGGTCCAGTACCTTGCAATAGTTGCTTGTACTAAATTGTCGTGAAAGGGTGTTGGTTTCATGTTCAGAAAGCCAACACGGGTGTGGTCAAGCTGACGGACGCGGTCGAAGTTGGAGGTGAGTTTGCAGCTGACGGTTCTATTAGTAATTGCTGTGCGCTTTACAGCGCCAGGAAGGGGCAAAACCTTATTGATGACGGACATGTTGTTGGTCCCAACATGCCACAGCAAGGAAGAAAGGAAAAAGGAGGGAAAAGGGAAAACAGTCTTAATGGGTAGTTGAACTTGTATTGAGTAGAAAGATGGCATCTCACAGTCCATGCGCTGTTGGGCAATGTCAGTCAGGTTGTGGGTTGGCTTGCGGGCGGCCACAGGAAATCTATCATGGAGTTGATGTGAAATTGCTCGGAGATTGGATGGATGGTTTGGCGTGCCGATGGGGCCGCCTTGAATGAGATTCCATGGACAATCTTAAAACTCGGTATTAAGCTTTAGTGTCAGGTCCTTCGCAGTAGTGCGCTGCACCTAGCACTCAGCTGTACACACTTTGGCCAAAAGGGTGTGGGCTGCATTTGTCGACAGAAAACAGCGCTTGTTTGCTTTGACTGAAATAGAAAAGTTGTCAATAATCTCAACAAAATCATTGAAATAGCTAATGAACTGAATGCTGTGGGTGCCGCCGGCACAGACGAAGTAGCTGACGGGGCCGCCTGCCAATTGGGGCCACGTCGCGATCGCTGCCGTATAAGAAATTACATTCCATTTTTCACTTTATAATTAGGGAAAATGACGTTAGTTTAGAGGTTAATTGCCATGCAATTAATATGCCATTAGATTATTTATTAATTAAGCTAAAACATGTACCAATAAATCAAGACGACATTGACATTGACATTTGAAAAAGTCAGTTCATGGGACACAAGCCCTAGAGCACGGGCCTTCAGTCAGCGGGTATGGAGCAGGCTTCTATCGGCGCAAATTGGCAGCAGGGAGTGGACAAGGTTATGTTTTAATTATTTCTAATTCAATATCCCATCGATTTGAATTAGTTTGATTCGCGCCCAATTAATATCTAATATTAGAAATGGCGGACTTGTTCAACAGCACGAGGCCCAGGCGGCGAATTTCAGTAATTTAACACTTATTGGAAGCAGACAAAAATGCGTGTAATATCCGAAATTCGCATTTTCCTACATTTCCCCAAAAGAGATCTACCAGAAGAATGAAAAACGCAGAAGTCTCGCTGGCTGCGGACACTCCCAAGTGTTGTGGCTGACCTCTTCACGGGAGCACCCACATCCATGCGGGTTCCAGTCTCGATGTGTTTTGGGAATGCATCGCGTATACTATCTTCTTCTTGAAATCCTTGTCCTGTTGCAGCTTTCTTCTTGCCACAAAACTATACACATAAGTTTTACCAAAAACCAGTAGAAACCTACATTCTTGCGATGCCAGCTGCGACGCCATTTGACACCAATTGATGCCGTCGCAATCACTGAGGTGGCATCGCAGTTGGCATCGCAAAGATGGTGTTTTCCGATAGTGCTAAGCTTTAACCTGAAACTAATTTGTTTCAGGGAAAGTTATAACTTTCCCTTTGGGGGTAACGGGGTTTCAGGGATGCACCGGCTCCCTGAAGGTGGAGGAAGCAATTGGCCGCCCAGGGCCACGGACGCGGACACTGATCCTCTCAACAAAATCCAACAATCAAAACGCCGACATTGCTTGCAGCGCAAAATTAGTGCTTTCACTTTGTAACCACCAAAACCGGGGCCCAACCCATCAAACCGAACACCTCCAAAAGTACTGAAGAAACGCCACACACAAACCCTCCAAGCAGCCTCGAACCAAACAGCCCGTCGCCAAACGCCGCCCAAGCGCTGACCACCGCGTGGGTCAACCGGATCCGGACAGCGCCATGCAGCGGGGAGCCGAGCGGCGCCCGGCGCCCGATCGAGAGGTGCGTCCCATCCCGGGGCCCTTGTTCTTCCTCCCTGCCTTCAAACTTTTATCCTCCTTTCTGTTGTTCGTTTTGGTGTTCAAATTTGGTGTCGCTCCCAGCAAGGATATGGAATGGGAGTTTTGAGAGACGGGGGCGCGTTCTAGGATGGCGGAATCGACGGATGCATGGGGGGTGGGGTCAAGGCGGGGCATTGGTAAGAATATGCCAAAGGGGAATGTGTCGTGGCACGGTGGCCATAGGTTAGAAAGGCTACGGTGAAGGCTGCGGACTGCGAATTCTTAGAGGCATGATCTCAGCTGCTCCGCGGTCACAATTATGCGCTGTGTCTGGGACACGGGAAGGGCAAAAGTGAAAGGGGGCGCACAGGAGTGAATATAAAATGGCAGAGTGGGCACAGGCTAGAAAAGCTATTGTTGATGTTGCCGATGGCAAGCTGGAGAGGCGCGATCTCCGCTGTTCAACACGCAGATTGATGCGCCCCGGGGGGGGACCACGGGAAGCGGACAAGGAAGAAGGGGGCGCGATGGGTTTTACATTGGATTTTATTTTGGGAAAAAGGGCGCGGCCGTCGGGAATCGCGCGTCGAAGAGTCGCGGCTGCCGTTTCGTTGCCACCGTTGCGCGCCGTGCTTTCGGGGATGAGCTGCAGGGTCCGCTGTCAAAAAAACAGCGGCAACACCAAAGATGCCAAAAACCCGAAAACGCCGTAAAACGACATACATTTCGCCGGTTCGCCCTGCGGGACGGCTGTTGTGCGCCTCCCTTCCCAAGCGGCGCCTTGGGATTGATTGTAGTTGTCGACTGGGGAGTCCTTTCCTTTGTTTCGGCGCGGAATGCAGCGAAATGCGAAACGCTAAGAGGGGTGGATGGGAGGGAGGGTCTGCCGCCGCCAAATTTCTGGAAAGGTTTGTCGCATCGAGCAATCGATGATGAGCTGTTTGGCGTTTGTTGTGGGGGCTCCCATCTTCCCAGAGTGCCAAACTTGTCTCTTCGGGGACCAAGCATTAGTTTTAATGGGGACTATCTTCTGGACCTTGCATCGCCTTGCACTTTCTTGTTACGTGGCACAGGGTTCGCATCCCTTCCGTTCAGATGGGCCCTGCACCTGAAGTCTTCATTGCAATGCAATATTTGGACCCAAGAAGTGGAAAACAATGACAAGAACACTGCTGCCTCTATATCTGGATAATTGGAACAAACGACCATTGCCTTTGCTACGATTTCTGATCTGCCGAGTCTCACACCCCCAGGGGACTGCCAACCTTCTTTTCTTTGAGACAAAGCATTCATTTAGGCGTGAGATACTTGTGGAATTAACAACTCCATGCACAATCCAGTGAGGTAGCCATGACTGATCAGACATCGTAGTAAAACACAATATTAAGTTGGTTGCAACGATTTGTTTTGATACACAGCCTTGTTGTTGCTGTTGTTGTTTAATTCCAAAGCACTGCACCACTTTCAGGATTCCAGTTGCCACCCTCATATGCAACGAAGAGCTGTGGAGCCTGTGCCACCCAACAAGAATATGAAAAGTGATTAATCAGAATGCATGCAGCTTGACTGACAACAAGTGTTGTATATCTGTGCAGTGGGAACAAACCTCCAATACGGTCACAAGAATGGGTTGGTGCCAGACAGGATGTGGGAATTCTCTATAATGCACTGATAATTATTTCATCTTTTGTTGACCTCTTTGGAAACATCTCATTAGGTGTTCATCATTTGTTCCAGCTTGCCCTGGGCCCATTGACAGTGTCCAACTGCCACATGGGCCATCAACATTTTCTTAAGACTGTCACACTTGTCGATGCAGGGTGATGGCGAAAAGGAGGGAAAGCGCAGGGCAGCATGGGCAGAGTTGCCTCGGCCCAAGAGGAGGACTTTGGAAGGAAGCCCGGTGGCAATAGAGGTGGGTGCCAAAATTGTTGCAGGTCGTGCTCAAGGACGCACACTTTCCTGAGAACAAAATTGTTTGTAGCTTTGTTTATAGAATCAATTGTTAGTCAATTGAAATACTTCTTATTTGATTAGAACTTTCCAAAAGTGCACAACCCAGCACCACTGTGTTGATGAATGGTGTGTCTAAGGACACACTCACTCCTAGGGCAACCCTGCCAAATGCACAGGGTGCATTCCCATGTGTGTCGGATCTCACAAGCAGACAAGCCATCACCCCTTGCAACTGATTGGCATGTGTGAGGGACGCAGCCATTCACAAGAACAGCCTCTGTGACGTGGATGGGTCAGTTTTGGATGTATGCAGGATCTACAAACAAATCCAGTACAGGGTTTGCTGGGTGTAACGCTACTCTTGCTCTCAAGGACGACACACAGAATGTACAGGACAATGTACAAACAGGGTTAACAAGTGCACAGCTTGAGCTACAAGAGCACTGGCATACATTCCAAGTCCCTCATGTCAATGCTGTTGTTGTGGTCACCAGACACCCCATTTTTCCAAAACAATAGGCTTGAAGCCCAGTAGTTTGTGGTTGATGGTTGCTTCTCAGCACCGTTTGGCCTTATATCCACTTTGCACGGATGGGTGTTAGTATAGTACAGTACAGTACAGCACAGTACATGGTGCAGTATTTTAGAGTTTAGCGCAGTGGTGTGTGATGGGGTCCAATATGGTGTCAGTATGCAACTGAGAACCACAGACACCATCCAGGTGAACTAGGCACAGGACTTGGCATGTAATGCGCTGGCCTTGCACTTAATACTTTGTGCCTTGGTCAATCAGTAGGCAAGAATGCCATGTTCGACTGCTGGAGGACAATTATTGGCATTAATGTATGGTGCGGTAAAATGCTGTAAAGTACAGTGCAAGGCAATCCATAGCAACAAAGTACTGTGTCACGAGGTGTGGCACAGTTGGAGGATGAGTGCTGAAGGCTTGACAGTGGTAAAAAAACCTTTCAGCAAATGCGTGCAGGATTCAGTGCTTAAGAGCAGCTTCACAGACATTTGGCCCCGACGAGTGCTAAAAAATGTGCCTTATAGCACTCAAAGTTCTTGACTATTTGCTGCTTTTGAACTGAACTGCTTGAGGACTGTCATGGCATTTTCAAAGAGTTGTTTCAGAATTTCAGAAATTTTGTCTGGCCCTTGTCTTACAATTTTCTGAACGATACCGTCATTGTAAACGACATTTTGATGATCATACTCAGCGAATTTCCAAAACTGGACCATGGACCTATCCTGCCTGCAGGTCGATGAGGTGGGGGAACGGGCGGAGATGCACACTGAGGCTGGGCCCCTGGACCTATCCACAGCCAGGGAGGTCGCTTGCGACGACGTGATGGCGATGGAATTGGATCCCTTGAGGGAGAACCAGATGCTCAGGAGCACCATCCGGCAGCTTGAAAAGAAGATGGAAGCACTGAGGGTGAGCGGCATCGCCAGAGTCTTTTCATTCTGTGCAGTGTTTGTTCACCATTATTGTGTGTGTTGTCCGTTGTTATGCATTATGGATCACCGTTATCGTTGTTGTTGTGTGCATTGTGCACCATTATTGTGCATCATTATGTGCATTTTTTGTTCGCAGTTTGTTGGTTGTGCGTGCTGCAGTGATTGTGCTTCTCTCTTAGTGTTGCTAGTACTTGTTGGCTTACTTTTCTATTGATTACTTATCAAACGCATCGTTTATTGTGAGGATTGCCATTATTTACTCATGTTTTGGTCACTTATGTTCTCTGTTAATATTGTCGATGTGTGGAAGCAAAGTTCATCAGTTGAAGAAGAAAGTGAAGGCAGCAAGGTTGGGCGGCCTTGTGTTGGTTGGTCTTCAGATACGATATCTGCTTCAGCACTCGATCTCAAGAAGTTGACGGCTTGAGATTGCGACGCTGTTTCAGAGCAGAGGAGATTTGATTCTCATGACATCAACTGCGAATTGTCTGTAATTTTTTTCATTCATGCGGTGGGTAAATTTCCAGACGGAGTTGAATGGCGTAAATCAGGCTTGGTAAATACGGATGCGGCTTCGAATAATAATGCTAGAAAATACGCGTAGTGTCACATGTGTTTATTTTAGGCCCTAAAATGAGTCTAAAAATGTGGCAATTCTTTCAGAATTGCAACACTGACATGTGCAAATTCAATCAGGCAGCATCCATGTCCGACGCATCTTTGACAGCCATCCATCGCTCGTAAAGTTGGTCCCAGTGCTTTAAGGACTTGTCCATCACCATTGCAGTGTTCTCCTTGAACACATGCAGTTCGAATGCCATCTCAAGGAGATGACCGCCCAGAGCCTTTCCCCCAGGCGCACCATATGCACGACTAATACATCCACGGCACGCTTGGCTGGGAATTCTGCACTGCATATATGCGGTATATACCACATATTGCTTGCACGATAAGACGCATCTACCACCTGGTGAACACAGCGGCCTTGCTTCCACGCGCTAAGGTTGCTGTGAGCGTTCGGTATACAGTGCATGCCTCACGAACTGCAGGCTTCCACTGGCGCTCCCTGATCGATCCATTGCACGGTCGCGGTCTTGCCTGGCAGACAGATTGACGCCGCCGCTCGCTTTCTCAACTTCGCCGCGCCGTTTCCTTTCAAGGCGCTGCTCTTGCAAGCGTGTCGCCTCTTCTCTATCAGCGTCTGACACATTCCCACGGCTCCCAGCAGCCCCAGATTCAGTGATGCCGGCCAGATGGCAACACCGTCATCGCCACCCGTCACGACAATGTACCGCACTGGGCTGTGGCATCCGTGAAGTAATTTGCAGCGGTGGGGACCTTGGCCGTCGCCACTGGCTCCTCGCCACATCTGCATTGCGCCCAGCTCCCTCGTGCTGTGCAGTTCGGTGGTCCGTGGGATGCACAATGTGCATTGCACATGGCGGTTTTCATCCATTAAGTGGCCAAATCGATGATAATTTAGTATAACTGTTCTGAAAAACGTTTGAAACCATGCGCTTTTTAAAAATTTGCCAAAATACGGGTGTTGTTGCGTATTTCAATTAAGAGCCAGCCGTGTTTCCCAAGCTTGGCGTAAATTAAGTTGCGAGTTGTGCTAAATGCATAATGTGTTTTGCTCGTGGATGATTTTGGGATGCAGTGGAGCACATTGCTGTACGATAATGAGCTATTTGCGCAGCGCTTTACCTGAGTACGTAATACATACTATGATATACATACCATGATATACTATGTACAATTCTATACATATTACATGTGCATCCTCATAAGAAATCAAAAAATCCAACTTGAAAGTAAACGCAATGCAGTGCACGTTTTTGCCTCAATTGACAAACTTTGAGATCAAATCAAATCATCACGATCATCAAGTAGATGAATGGCTGATGCAATCATCTGATTGATGTTTCTGCTAAACACTCTAAACCAGAAAACTGAAAAAGTCAAACACACTAAACAATGTACTAAACAGTATGCTACGCGTATGCATATACTAAACAGATGATTCACAGTGGTGACGTTAAATTACTGCTGCTTCAGGCGCTGGGAGATGCAGACACGCAGCTCGCCCGGATTGCCAAAATGCGCCTGGCATCTGCCTCGAAGGAACTTAAGGCCATCAGGGGGGAGGCGGAGCAGAGAAAAGCTCTGGATGAAAAATGCGCTAGAGCCGAGATGGAAGCCACAATGTGCGAGATCGCATTTGTTTGTCATGTTTCATGTGCTTTGGGAAGGAATACATTAATCATGACACCCTTAGCACCCTATGTGGCACTGTATGGCATTATATGTAACAACGTTTCACCTTATATAACGCTATAATATATAGTGGTATATCGCTTATAGATATGCTGTGTTATGGCGCCCTTTCTGGAAACAAGTAGTACAAGCAAGTACTGTAAAGTACCGAGCCTGCTGCCACTTGCCCAGTACGAGGGTATCTTTTTATTTCCAGGTTTGGCTCGCTGCAATGCTGCAGAAGTGGCTGAGACATGAGCTTAAGGCTGTCAGAAGAGCAGGAAAGAACTGGTTTTGTATAATGTTGCAATAGAGTTGGCAGTGGCAGTGTGCTAGGCTGTATATATGTTTGTTATGTTCTTGATCCATTTTTAGCCCAGTATGATGTATGGATTTTGAAATTGCCACCGAAATGCCAGGAAAATGAAATCAGGATTTCCCTTTCCAGGGGTCAGTAGTAGTAACTATTTACCTAATTCTTGAGAGGAGCAGGGAGGGGTTTTTAAAACGCACGAAAAGGGCATGGCATGGGACATTGATGACAAAGCAGCAACAAACAAGGCCATGAGTTTGCTAGCATTCCTTGTGTTTGGTGTTTTTCCCAGTTGTGACTTTGCACACTACAATAGAAGACCGCAGTCAGGGAATTGCTCTCGTTCTTCCTCTCTTCCAGCTTATGTATTGCATTGAAAACACTGCCAGAATATACATAAGGAAAGACATTATTTTTTGATTTTAGTACGCTTAGCGTCAAATTGAAGTGGGGGGGGAGGGGGGCGGCCAGCCATTGACACTAAGAGATTATGCGTTTGCACTAAAATCAAAATAGATTGGGAAGATGCACAAAAACGCCATAGATCAGTGGCAGATGGCTCATAACTTGTTGCAAAACCTCCCTCAAACTTTCAATCATCCAAGTAGAATTGATCAATTTTGAGGCTTTTGTGCTGCTCTCATCGCTTTGTTATCCTTTTTATCAAATCATCGCTATTGCTCCTACAATTTTGGCTGTGTTTTTCCCTTATACTGTTTAGAAGTATTGTGGCATTGTAATGTAATGTTGCTGAGTCATCCTGGCATCAAAATGAGGATTGACGCTGAGGAGGGTGGGAGGGGTATTTTGAGCTTAATGCCACGTTAATGTTGTTATTGCCACATTACCGATTCTGTGACCCTAGTGATTGCTGCTCCAAAATCAAAATAATGTCTTCTCTAAGCTGAATCTAATATGTTGTAGGTACTGCTCATGCTCTAGTGCAGTGTATTACTACAGGTCATGGAATGCTAGATTTCTCACTCATTCATTGCACTATTAATTTGTTTGGCTTTCATTTGCTTACTTGTCTATATTACTGCCGATTTTCTCCATGCTTTGTCAACCGTTGAAATGTCCCGAAGTAAGGGCGCTTCCAAGGACCAGCTTCCTTGCCTGCTCCAACTTTGCATCACATTTGAATTTGGACACGTGTGGGAATACATTGCCTGTTCGAATTACATCAATTTAAGCACCAAATGGAGTACACATTTTCCTGGTATTTTGCTGCGCTGGCAGTGGGGATGGTACCCAGGCTGAAAAATCCAGGTCCGGCTACCCAGAATTTGCGGCAGTTGGGTACCGGGTGCACACGGCCAGCCCAGGTACAGTCCAGTATCTGGGCAGCCTTGAATACCAGGGTTGCCCAGCACAAGCAGTACCCAGGTCCAGGTATTTACCTGGTATGGAATATTTCTTCCCGGCGCCAACTACATGATGCTGGCCGGCTGCACTCTGTCCCGCTTGGCTGGGTGCTGTCTAACGGAGTCTCCGACGACGGCATTGCACCTTCGGCTGACGTTCTCTTGCATGACCCGCACGTTTGGAGGGCAATGGAACGATCCGCCCGAAGCTGAATGCCTTTTCATCGACGTCATCGTTGGCGATCAAGTTGACGATCCAGAATCAAGGACGCAACAGAATGTCGCACGCAGCAACAGCCACGGCGACAAATCACAAGAACAGCGCAAACAGTGAGATCAGTTGCATCAAACTTTCGCATGCGCTGCAAGATCCGTCGCCAGAATCCCTGCCTCAATTGCTCCATCTCTTGCCGACGACCACGTAGCACCACGATCAAAATCGTGCATAGTTGGATTCGCCGACTGCGCCTCATCGGCTCCCCTGGATGCCCTACAAATGTGTGGTCCATGGAAGAAAGCGTGGGGAGAATAGGCGCAAAGTACCATCAGAGGTGCACGCACACCTGGTCTGGAGGCGATGGTCTTCCCTGAAAGTGTACCAATCCCAATGCGTGGAGTACTGACCGTTGCTCAAAATATGTGCTACAGTACCCAGGTCCGTACCCAGACCCAAGTACTAGTTAGTATCCGGATAATCCAGGTACCTGCCTATACCTGCTTATACCCAGGTACATACCCGGACCTGCCTACCCATGTACAATGGTTGCCGGGTACCCAGGCAGGTGGGTACAAGGAAAAAAACAGTACCCGGTCCAGCCCTCAGGCTTCCAGGTACCCGGTTACCATCCCTAGCTGGTAGGTGTTGTATTCTGCCTCGTATGTCCCTGATTTCTGTTGTTACAATATGGCACTGTGCTTAATGTTGTTAAAATGTGCAGTGGCTTGTGTGTAGTACTTCTATTGAATGATGTACTTTTGTTGTACATTCACGTAATTGGTACCTTTTTGTTAAACTAATGATTAACAGCGTCTAGTAATACCAGGGACTTTCTTTAAATTACAGCTGTCTTTTTTGCCTTTCTGTGTTTCAGATGTCGAGAAGAGCTTGACCATTGCAAAAATGCCATCCGTGCTGAGCAGGTGAGATCAGTGATGCATTTTTTGCAAAGTACATATGCTAACAATAGCAATGGCAGTAGTGATATAAAATGTATCATTAATGTTGGTATCAATATCAAGAGCATGCGCAGCCAGTGGATTTGCGTTGAATGTTCAGGCGACCTGCAACGTACTACAAATGCACATATTTGGATAATGTACCTGTTGTATGTTCAATACTATTCTTCAACTTAGAACCTATTTGGAATTAGGACAATGTGTGCCTCATGGCGTGAGTGCGTGGCCACAGGCGGATACTGCTGCTTCAAGGAGGCGCGTTCGACAGTTGGAAAAGTCGCACCAGCTCATGGAGGTACGCTCACAATGTACTACCAGCAAAAGATTGTACAAGCGTGTACCATAAAGTACTAACCCTCGTGCACCCTTTCCCCATAGGGGTGGTTAACGCAGCGATTGCAAGACACGCCATATAGATGGTTGTTCTCTTAGTGATGCCAAATCAATGCCAATAATTTCAACCACATTGTTTCATGCATTGCAACAACACTGTTTTCCGGATAATAGGCCAACGTTTAGTACTTTGTAGTACTTGGTTGTACCAAATCTTCCTGATAATGTGTTCAATATGACTGCATCAACGACATATACCACGTGGTATGTGCACATTGTTCTGTGTGTGCTGTAGGATGATGGGATTACTGCATCCTTTGTGTGCTGATTGTTGCATTCGCCCTCTTGCTGTGATTGCTGCATTACCGCTATACCAATGTTCATAGTGTTCTAAAGTGTCATGGATGTAGAAGAAAAAAGTTCCTTTTCCTCTATCATTGGCAAAAAAAGCAGAAATAGGAATACTCATCTTCCTAGCAATCGTTTTCAAAGAATACAGAGATCCATTGATGTCTCGTCCATGATTCCCCTTGGGCCTGCTACTCTGCTGCGTTCAGGCGAAGCCGATATGAAGCCACAGTGCTAGGTATTATACCTGTTTGTATGTACACATATATAAATATAATGTACATGAAATAGAATGTACATGAAATTGGCGAAAATTCTTAACTTTGTATGGCAGTCGTCACATCGTTCCTTGTTAGGAGTTTCTGGCATGTTCGAAACTCGGTTATCAACGATTTACGGCTTACCATAAATTGTTACCAGTAATTCATCAATAACTTGCAATTTTACCAATTTTACCTGTCGGGGGCAGTCCTTTCAGTGGTTCTTTGCGCTGTGCGATTTGCAGGCCGAGAATGTGAGTCTCAAGGAGAGAATAGCGCAGCTGGAGGACATGCAAAAGAGCGTTCAGGTGGGTCAGTATCTGGACGTTTCCGTGCATCAGTTTCGTGGGTCAGCACCTTGCAAAAGTCCACGGAATGAAATAACGTACCCAGTACATTCTGCACTATACAGGCTCTGACTGCACTTGCTGCACTTGGCAGTATGCCATGAAGTTGAAGCCCATTTATTTCTTTGCGAGCATCGTTGTTGCTTCATGGCTGACATTAAAATTGGTCAGTGCATAGGTCAGCATGGGGCTGATTACGAGGGCACGTACATTGCGACTTTCACAAAGCGAACCAGCGTATTGCATATACATATACGTATACGTATTACATCTCCGATGTCAAATATCGGTGCAATATTGGCAGTGTGCAATGAAGCAGTGCTCTGTGTTTTGACATTCCACTCGTGACATGCTTCGTTGTTGCAATTCTTTAATTATTGTATTCCGTTTTCCATTCGTGTGCACCGTTCGTTGTGCTGCAACTATGCGCGCTTTCTTCTGGGCACGAAATTGCTTACTTCCGCCCTTCGCTTCATTGGATTTTGACGTAGTGCAATGTTGCACAATGCAATGTGGCGTTGGAAAGTAAGCATGGAGTTGTACAAGAAGAAGCGAATTAAGGCAGTACCTGCGTGTGCAGGTAGAAAATGCAAATCTGAAGAAAAGGATGGCGGAGATGGAGAGCGTTGGGCAGACAACACCGGTGAGCGTGAAAGCAAGCCGAATATTTCGAGGTTATACGTTCAAATGCCGAAATTCAGAGTTTGGCATGCGTAAAGTGCAGGTTCCGGCTTACATCACTTGGCTTCATCTTTCTCATTGTTTTGTGTTGATCATTGTTGCCAATTGTGTGTCTGAAGAAATTGTTCCATCGGCATACAAGCAATCGTTTCTATGTCTGGTGTTGATTAGTGACATTGTTTGGAGAATGCTGCTTAACGGAAATTCTAAATAAGGAAAGTAATGCAGTTGTCAATGACGGCATATAAATACGAGAATGCAAATGTGGATATGAAACCCAAGTGAGGCACCTTTTGATGGTGCCTGTGTCCCAATTTTACGTACCAGCACACCAAAGGTGGCATTTGGATAACATGCAGTTCATGCTGCCAGCAGCATTACTGAAGATTGACAGCAATTTGCCCAAATCATGCAGCAAGTCAGAAGTCTATGTACTGTATGTCAGTGGGTGTTTGCGCCATCCAACGTTGCCAAATGTATCTCTTCATCGCATTCGAGGGGACAGCACCAAGGGAAGGAATCAGGCTTGGTTTTTACGTTTACGTTTACGTTTTTACTTTTACGTTTTTACGTGTAAAAACGTAAATTTGCAAAAGGGCCTATTGTCACGGCTATTTTTACGTTTTTACGGCTCCCTTGGACGCCCAGATTACATGATGAAAATTGCATACAATGATCAGTCCTCCGCCATATCCAGCACCCGCAACACAGTGTCCACCTCGCCCTTGGCAAGGGCGATGATGGTGCTTAACAAAAACTCGTTTTCTGCCCCTTCCAGGGCGTCTGGGTGCCACTCACCGGGCTCCGCAAGTCTATATGTACTGTCCTTATGTACACCGGGCAGTTTGAACGTTGTATTTACGTATTTTTACGCATTTTTACGCATAAAAACGTAACTACGATCAGTTTTTACGGCGTAAAAACCAAGCCTGGAAGGAATTGAACCTTCACAGATAATTCTTCCTTTGGTGTGTCGCAATGGTCCTGGGTCAAATCTTCTTGTTCGCATTCTTATCTGCATGTGCATCATAACTTAGGGCAAATCGCTGGACGTTGGAAACATCCATTGTAACAGTCGACTTTTGAGAACTGTGCATGGCCATTAAGACTACCACAGATCACGGAGGGTAGTGCGGGGCGTGTTGAACAGCGCAGGGGCCTTGCACAACGCCCCCACGTTAACGAACATGGCCACCGCCCAGAGCGCGGGGTGCACGTTTGATAGCGCAGGTGGTATGCAGCTCGCACGCTGGGCCGTCCTCAGTCGCTGGCAAAAGTTGCGGCGATGCAGTGCACAAAGTCGCAGAAATGCGGTGATGACGTCATCCCGCTCTTAGCATTATTGGCGTCCTGTTTAGACTGTTTTTTGGTGTGTTGAATTGGTCTGGTGGTCAATGTGGCGGCGCGGGGTCGTTAGCAATTCATTCGCATGACTCGGAACATATGGGGCAAAGATAGTGGCCTCGCGTTCTTGACACCAGCCCTGATTCTCGATGCAGGGAAAAAGAGGGGGGGGGGCAAACTTCTTTGATCTATGGCAGTCAATAATCTGAATCTAGTGTTGGAATGAATAACAGAATTGACCCTGCGACGTACAGTAGATAAGCGGCATGTGAACGCCATTTGCCGAGCGGACTTTGCACCAACGGTTGTACTCTAGATATTCAGCTTCCGAGACATTGAAATGCACACAGCAATATTATGAATTGTTTCGTTGTTTTGAGCATCTATGTGTGTTGCACTTCCTCTGCATGGGAATATAGTCCCCTATTTCCTTGAGACTGTGTTTGTATCGTGCACACATTAGCTTTTGCAATCAAAAAGCCACATGAACGTATATAGTGTCGTCCAAGAAGCATGGGCAATGGAGTACAGCATACTTCGTACTTAGCAGAACACGCTTCCTATCTGGTACAACATACTTCGTACAAGTATGTAGCAGTACTCGAAACATTTGGAACTCGGACTGAGAAGTCTAAAAGTTTCAGGACCTCGCTGGATCCACCCCTAAATGCCGTCTCTGGGAGAGCCCAGCCACATAAACCCCAAAGGATGTGGTCAGGAAACAGATAACCTCATCTTACGAAAGTGATGATATGTCTGATTTTGATGTTGTAAATAGCTCTGTCATGAGGAAAGTTGAAAAGTGGATAAAATGCAGAAGTAAAAATGCCATATCCATGGCTGTATTTCACTGCACTATGGTAGGCAGACATGACTTTGAATGAGCACAAGAGCAAATTTGCTCGCCAATTGTGCAAATGCCTATTCCCAGAGTACTGAACACCAAAGCTGACTGCCAAGTTGCTGAATTGGCGTCCACCTTTTTGAAAGGGTATCAAGAGCGCTTCTCAGCCGGGCCCTGGGACCCAGGGTGCTTGCCGGCCGGACTCCGGTGGCACGGAAGGGTCCCTGCCATCATGCCCAACCGCTGTGCAGAGAACCACAGATGCGCAGACGCTGTTGGCTGGGGCTGTGTGCACACCTTCCGCCAAAGCAGCACAGATGCCACTCACAGAAGGGTCCCTGCCATCATGTGCAACTGCTGCGCACAGACCTATGGGTATGCAGATGTTGTTGGGCGGGGATGTGCAGACACCTCCTGCACAGATGCCATGCAAAGGTGTGTGTATGCTGTCAGGCATGGCGGCAGGACAAGGGCCTGTTTCATGTGGTTCCTGTCCGTATTTCGATTGCGTTGAATCGCAAAATATACTGACTTAGCCACTATTTTTTAGTGATTGCTGTGCAGTTATAAGAATGTCAAGTGTTAGATTGCCCTAAATTTGGCCCATGACATAGTCGTATTGTATTGCTATGTTTGATACTGGCTTGCGGTTATGGTGATATTTATTTCTTTTGTGCTGTTTTGGCGCGTCAATGAGCCACCCTGTCTTGACGCGTGGTACAAGCAAGCAGTACGAAGTACTAACCACTCGTTACTTGTAAACTAAGTACTGACTACTATGAAGTACTAACCAGGTTGTACTGGCTTTGTCCAAAGGACCGCCAGTGTCTTCGGGCGGAGACGCGCAGCTCCCATCAGGCGCAGAACCACAGACGCCATGCTCAGATGCACAGATGCGGTCGAGCGCAGGGGCACAACCGTTGCGCCCTTCAAGTGTGCAGACGCCGAGTGCGCGCGCGCAGATTTTGCCATTGGAAGGTGATCAGATGCGTCCAGATGGAGATATTCACACTAGTAACAACAGGCCAATATGCACAGTTTGAAAATCGTGCAAAAAACGTGACAGATCGTGTATTTATCGCATAAATATGGGACCAAACCGTGCAGCAACCATTGAGTGAGTGTGCCGATTTTCGCACGTTTCGACACGACCTTGCGCGATGCTTACGCGGCTCCGTGTGTTTTGGCCGAGCTTTTTACTTGTGTCGGTTGCCCTTCGTCCATAGAAAACACCGTCTTTGCTATGCCAACCGCGATGCCTTTGGACGCTAATCATACCACCATGGCCGCCTTGTCCCATCGCAATCGCTGCCATGGCGCCGCTCAGTGTCGAAAAGGCATCGCAACTGGCATCGCAATGGTGGTGCTTCTGCTAGTGCTTGTGATGCCATGGAGCGCGGGCGCTCAAAGAGCACGGAACCTAATGCACAGTTAGGAGAACGCGATGTGGTTCCATTGTAACACGGTTTGTGCTTCACATATGCAATGTTTTCCACCTTGACGCAACTCGAATTCAGTTCGAATGTGCGATGTTTTCCCGCCTTTTAAGGCAACTTCCACTGAGTTAGAAACTGTGTGAAATATGTGGTGTTTTGTCAGCAAGGTGTGCACGTGCTGTCAGGTGCACTGCCGCGGATGCCGTCGCGCGTGGAAGTGCAAACCCCGCCTTGTGAAAATGGGGTGGAGCAACAGTTCTTGATGGTCGGGCCTGCGAGCGGGATATCATGCCGGAGGCAGTGTGTCTCTGAGATGCCAAAGAAAGCAAAGGTAGCACCAGGAACAAAGGACTACTGACAAGAACAGTGGTTTTGATAATGGTGATAGTGGTAGCAATGTTACCAGTAATGGCAATATTGGTGACAAATATAGTCACAATGATGATGTAACAATGGGAATAACAATCGATTATGGTTAGAACAATGTTGGTTGCGATATCAACAATGATGATAATTGGTGGCCATTCGGGCGATAGTGACAATAGTGGCATTACTAGTAATGACGATGGAACTAACAACAGCAAATCAGTGTAAACCAGTACTAAAAGCATGGACATGCTCAGCACTAGCAAAAACATAGGAATAAATATGATTTTGTGTATTGATGTGTCTATTAATATTGGCGTGTGCATAAGGATAATAGTCGTAATTGTTTCACTAGAACGCTTTTGTGTGATGCCCATGGTAATGTGGGCAGCTTCTGCTCTCTTCCGTATGGAATAATTGGCCCCAATGGAAAGTGTTACTGCAAGATCATCTTTTGCATGAAAATGACAGTAATTACTGCCTATTGTCGTTGCATTATTACTGTTGTACTATTTGGTATGACTGTTGTATCATCACTTGTTATTATTGATATTATCAAAGATGGTATCACTGTTGCTTACAATTTTGTTGAGATTAGTTTTGATTCATGACGTACATAGGTGTAGCAATCCATCTGCCAACAGGCCGCTGAGCATGTCTGGCCATGCCTTTCTGGCCAGAGGCGTTGTGTGGCAACTAATAGGGAGGGGGGTGGTGGGGAGAACTGACAAGACTTATCACAATTATGATGGTACCTGAGATTGCTGGCAGTGTTGGCTGCTGACGATCCCAATCATCAACTGGCGCAAGGGGAAGGGGCACCAGGCCGTCCAAATTTTCCAATAGGCACAGCGTGGCCAATGGGGACGAGAGTACAAGGGCCATTGTGGTAGTGTCCGATGGTGATCTCAAACGGTACCCACTGCACGTGTGAAGGGTCGGTCTAGCCTGGTATTAGGCTACAGAAGATGAGGGTAAGAGCAAACAACAGAGAGAACTTGCCTAGTGGCCTGTCAAAACAGATGTAAGTCGTGAGTGGTAAAAGTGAGTGCATTTGTGGAGCGCAAGTGAATATGGCTGGAGAAGCCAGGTGTCCGTTGGAGATATCTGCATTTCTTCGTGTTTGACCACGCACAGATTTTGCATCCAATATATTTAGTATCCAATATGTCAGCCAACGCAACATGCCTTGGCTGATTCATCCTGTCATGCTTTTTGGCATTTTCAGGTTGCGAGGGCGTCGTGCAAGCTGCTACGGAGGCAGTGCGTCGAGCAATACACATTCAAGTCACACGGTGTGTACATCTGGACACTGTCAAAGAGCATTGATGTCACCAAGCTCAATGAAGAAGATAGCGACGAGGGCGATGACGCCAGCGACGATGACGGTGATGATGCCAGTGACAAAGCCAGCGACAAGAAACCAAGTTCCAGGAATGGATCCGGTGGCCCAGAAAGGTAAATCCATCTGACTCGCAATTGGCATGTTTGAATGTAGCAGAAGTATGGCACAGGAAAGGGCCAACTTCCATTGAAGTCTGCTGGGGGAGTTTCCCTCCCCAGCGATGTCTGTTGGCAGGAGGGTCGTATGTAACCACTGTGGGGTTTTTAGTGCCACTGGCCCATTGGCAAGGACCCCATTCCATTGGCATCGTCAGGAAATGTCCTGGCACCTGGGGCTCTGACGTTGGCGAACCCGAATTGGCAAATTGGCTGATGTTGACGGAGGCTGGGACTCCACAGGCATGATGCGGCGGGTGGTATGTAATGAGTGGACGAAAATTGATGATTGTGTTCCTGCCTTTTGTGTTGCTTGGATGTTGTGCCAGAAAGCACATTGGATCAGAAGATCGATTGCCAGCTTTTGAGTTTGCACAATGTTGCAGTTATTTGTGGCCAGTCTTGTTGACAGGATCCGGGCCATGATGCGTGGCAGTCAATCAAAAGTTTGATTTGTGCAGACGGAAGGAGAGTTTCCCAGACTTCAAGGCGTCTGGACCCCACTCTCCGAACTCCGCAAGTCTGCATGTACTGTCCTTATGTACACCGGGCAGTTTTTACATTGTATTTACGTATTTTCAAGTATTTTACGTGCAAAAAAGTGAAAACTATTTTTACGTGTAAAACCGTAAATACGGTCAGTTTTTACGGCGTAAAAACCAAGCCTGATTTGTGCAGGCGGTAGGAGAGTTTCCCACATTTCAGCAAAGGTGCAGAGTTGGGCAGGACTTGACAAAAGTAGCAGGTCGTTCATTTCTATTGTAATGGCGAAGACATTGGGCACCACCGTGGGCCAGACCTACGAGCACCAAAGTGAGTCATATGATGCGGGTGATGCCAGGTATAATTTCCACATGACCATTATTGCATTCTTTTTATTTCTTCACACTGAAGCGGTTGCGTTCATATGTGGACTGCTGCAGGTGTGCTGGGAGTGGATGGGCATCCATCGCCTTTCGTGTACTGGATGCCATTGAGCAGATCTCAGAAAAGCGCGATCGGGAGGTTTGTCCAGGCTTCTTTTTCAGGCAGGCGAGGCTAGTGAACAGGCACTGGAACGGTTGGGCAAACAAGGCAACCCTGCGCGTGGGACTGGCTTCAGAATTCTCGTCCATGAATGGTCCCTCCCGGAGCGCCATTCTGCGGTCTGTGAAAACCAAGTTCCCCAACGTGGAGGAGCTGATGCTGCCGAGTGGGTTCAAGTTCACGATGATCGGGGCCCACTTCTTGAGCACGCTGTCCAAGCTCAGGCATGTCGAGCTGCGAGACTGTCCCCTAATGGACACCCAGCTGTCCTGGCTGAAGGGGCTGGTGGGACTGCGAAGCCTGAGGATCCGGAAGAGCAGGCAATCGACCGGGCCAGGATGGGAGGCGATCGGCGGGCTGGTGGCCCTACGGGAACTGCATCTTGAGGACGTCAAGGTGGGGCGAAATGCCTTGTGGACCAAGATGCCCAGCCTGAGGAAGCTGGAGCTGAGGCTGGCAGAACAGAACAGGGTTTCAGAACACTCCAAGGACGGCGCCGAGGGCTGGCACAGAGTTCCGGTGGGTGTATCCCGCCAGCCCGCTCTCACGGAACTGACCATCTCCAAGAGCTTCGTGACGAAGGCGGACTTGGCCCAGTGGAGGGACCTGTGTGCGTTGACCTCGTTGACTCTTGTGGACATTTTGTACCGCAGCGACCATCCCCGGGATAGGCACTTCTCAGGACTGGGGGCCCTGCATGGGCTGCGGTTTCTGGGCCTGACAAGGTGCCACGGCAGAATGGGCTTTTTGGCTAAACTCACTTCGTTGCAGTCTCTCATGCTGGAGGATTGCAATGGTGCGAGAGGCAAGGGGATGGGGATGCTCACAAATCTCACGTCTCTGTCCATCGTGGGGTGCTCGATGGTGAAGGACGCGGATGCGAAGGGCTTAGTGGCGTTGACCGGGCTGCGGCGCCTGCGAGTGAGCAAATGTGGGTTGACAAGTTCAGGATTGGAGACTCTCACATCAATGGCTCCGGGAGTGGTGGTGGATTCGGGGTGGTGAAGGGGACTGTGACATGATTGATGTACTGGACTGTGTGTTTGTTGACTGTCTCTGCGGTTTTAAGTGCTGGATCTGCAGTGTTGCACTGTTGCATTTGCGCGTTCACCTGAATGGCGCCCAACCACACCATGCACCCCGCCCACACATTCACATCTGCATCCTTTCACATGAAGGAAAGGAACCTCGCCACACTTGCCTGGGAAGGGACGCCCTTTGCATGACCTGCTTCCCTCGTCTTTGTAACAAATCTTACCCCCACACCCACCCCTTCCCTTTCCATTCCTCCTCTCGCTGAACGACAACCAACCCTCCTCCAATTCGCTGCTCCAAGCGCCCAGCCGTGCAAAATCTTTCCTCCCCTGGGCCGGCGCATCGCTGGAGCTCCTGCTGGCCGTGTCAAGCGCCAGAACCGCTCTGAGGGCGCCTCTGAGGCGCCTCTGAGGCCTCAACTGGGGCGGCTGGGCGTGTCGCCTCCCATCAGCGAATGGCGCCCCGGTGGATTCGGGCCAACGAGTTCACGGGAGGCTTGTGATGCAACTCGTGTTGTTAGCCACGTTCGCGTCCTGTGGCCGCACATATCCAGCGCACGATTCCTGCATGTGAAAAACAGCCGATGGGCGGCAGGGGATGGCGCCACATGGGCGCTAGCCAGCGCGACTCGGAACGCCTCCCACTTGTTGGGCGGAGTGGTGCTCGGGCGAGTGGGCTGTGAGGCTGTTTAGTGCACATTTCCTGCAAGTGAACCCGATGGGCCACAGTTTTGCTTTGCAAATGTGCCACGATGGCCACAATGGTGACCAGCCATGCCATGTGCAAATTCCCCAAATGACAACCTCAACAGCCAACTTATCGATGCAGGTTCACAACCAGCCCTTGAGGGGCTCTGCGCCATACCAGACACACTCAACAACACACTCATGTAGACACACAACAGGAATGCTTAACGCTCATCTGCGCTAAATCAGATCTTCACCTTCCGACTCACACTAAAGAGCCACAAGGTTGCCGAAAACGACGGCGATTGATCCCCAACAACACACACCCATGGGGAAAGGCCGTTTTGAGCGTTTTCATGGTGCGCTAGGTGAAATTGGGCCTTTTCATGTGGAAAGATCTGGACAGCTGTGCATGCCCTCATTTTTAAATCTCTCAAACGCTTTGTGGCGATGCCAATCCTCCTTAGCATTCGAACCACAAACTACAAGTGCCAGTGGGAAACTGTTTTTTTGCATGTTTTCGTGGCCTCGTGGCAGCACGTCTTGCCGTTGTGGGTTGCACATCACCCCCCTCCATGCCCACCCACCCATGCTGGCGCCAATGTTTTGTGGATCTGTAGGATCTCGTGTGTGAATATCCGAACCAGAGTTGGACACTGCCGAACCACTGGGAAGGATAACTTGAAGCTTGGTTTGCCCCTTCCCCACGTGCGGTTGGCGCAGGAAGGAAGGCCGTCCGCTGTGCAACTAGGTTCAGATCAGAAGGGTGCATCAACACGGATTGGCATTGCCTGCTGATAGGGTGAGCTCCTCCCGAAGTCGGCAGCACATAGGATCGTGTTGCCTCGGAAGCTGCCTTGGGTTAGCAACATGGTCTGAAGTGACCAAAGCATTCCCTCCGCGTCGCACCCATCCTCACCCCCTCAGCCAATGAGCTCCCTCCTTCCTCCAGCCTTAATTTCTCTATAGCCCCTGTGTCCCCTGTGCTTTCCACATCCGGGTTCTCTGCGCCTCCCGATTCCCAATCTCTCTGTGTCGGCCCCTCAGCGCTTCCCGACGGCCTCGTGCCGTCCGGCGAGTCGGGCTGCGGCTGGAGGGTGGGGAAGGCCGTGCAGGCGCGTCGCTGGAGCTCCTGCGGCCGTGTCGAGAGCCAAGGGCCTGCGCCTCGCAGCTCGCTTGGCGCCTGGCCTCCTGTTAGTCAACGGAGTCGCGAGTAGGGTCGCGTTTAGGGTCGCGTGTAGGGTCGCGCGTCGCGTGTGACCTGGCAGGTTTGGGCCAATCAGATGACGGGAAGGGTCGCGTCGCGCGTGTGGGGTGGCGCCCGATGGGCGCCACCCCTTGGCGCCCATCGGGTTCACTTGCAGGAAATGTGCACTGGACATGTGTGGGCGCCAGCCCACCCGCTACGCGACGCGACGCTTCCCGTCATCTCATTGGCCCAAACCCGCCAGGTCACACGCGACGCGCGACCCTGCACGCGACTCTGCGGGTTTGGGCCAATGAGATGACGGGAAGCGTCGCGTCGCGTAGCGTGTGGGCTGGCGCCCGATGGGCGACACCCCCTGGCGCCCATCGGGTTCACTCGCCGCCAGAGCGTGGCGTGGCCATGGCACAAGCATCGCGCCGGCATGGCACAAGTGTAGCGCGGGCATGGCGCAAGTGTCGTGCCACCACGGGCCAATCGTGGCGCTCGCTATTCGGTTGTGTTGAAATCACCTCAAATCAAGGCCATTTATGCGACGGCCATTGATTAAAAAACCAAAAACAAGGGTTGAAAAGAGGACAAAAAGGGGTGATTTCATAACACGGGGGAAGAAGTTTTAAGTGAAGAAACCACGGGATAAAAGCTGCATTTATTAGGATTAGAGTTTAAGACTTTAATCATCAGGATGCCATGGACCGAGGGTGGCAGCGCCATGGTTGGGATATGCCAGAGCCATGGTTGGGGCGTGCCAGCGCCATGGCACAAGTATGACTAAACGATGTGCGAAGTACTGGGAAGGAAACGGCACCTCTTTGCAAGGTGTTACTAAGTACAAAGATTAAATACAGTCGCGGAAATGCCACGTTTGTCCGCCCTGTCAGCGTGGACAGCGGCCTGTCCGACTGAGACTACCTCTACTTCAGACCCAAGAACTGATTCCTGTCATTCTAGAGCCTGATCTGCGACTACAGCCTGCACAGCAGTGCGCGGTGCCCATCGAAGTCACACCGCCTGCTTGCGGCCAGACGCGGTGTCCCACGGTGGGGTGTACGGACTATCGGAGGCATCGGAGTTGATGTCGCATCATCGGAGGCGTACTGAGCGACGGCAAAGGCGGGAATACGGCTGCGAGAGGACGATGATACGATGTCGGAGGCTGCCGAGCTGCAGACGTACGATCGATCGACAAGGAGTTACTGATACGTTCAGTCAGCGATGGGATAGCGTCGTAGTAACGTAGGAATGATCCTCGGGCAGGCAGGACTAGAAGTGACCAACCGCTGATGAGCTGTCAAGGGTCGGAGCGTGACGGCGCCATGTTTGGGGCATGGCCAGGCCGTGTTTGGGGTATGCCGCTGCCATGCTCGGGGTAGAATCGAGGGATGATCTGATCCATGACAGGCGCACTACGATGTGTATTGGATGGGAAAGAGTCTTTTCTTAGTCGGAGATGTACTGGGGAACGTTGGGAACAGTACCAAAGACAACAACGATGTACTGACACACTGGTTTTAATACAAATACGAGGCGCTCCACGGTGAGCGGGAGCCTCCCTGAGCCCGTTGATTCCTGTCTGATCCGTGTGCCTCTGGTCGTGCTGGTTGCCGTGTCGGTGGCAGCCTGCCTCCGCCCCTCTCGCGAAAGCGCTGCCCCAGTCGGTCGGGGCTTCGTGTCGACTTCCCACCGCCGGCAGCGTCGCGTTGGGCGGAGGAGCACCCGGTGGAGTCTGTTTGCCACCCCAGAGGGTCTGACAGGGCGCAGAGGCGAGCTCCGTTAGCGATCGATTCTACTCGGTCGGACATTTGGTTGGTTGGTAAGACTGCGCTGGCTTTGAAGGAGTGAAGTGGTCGGTTATGGCGCGTTGCTTTCAAGAGTTGTCGACAGCGAAATTAGAAAATAAAGTTCTTGAAGGAAATGCCGTTCACGCAATTCAACCCCCTCCCTTTTGGTGTGCACACAGGAAGCGCGAACCCACGACCGCCGATGCTTCAACGGCGTTGGCACGCGGCCACGCGCAAGCTACGCCCACACACGAAACGCCGGGGGCTTTACGTGTTCATTCGCCCTTTCCACAGCGAAGAGCTGTGCCGACGGTGGCAACGATCACGGCCAGATTTCGTGGTGCTTTCGCAGCCACCCGTCCGCCTATTCGGACCCCAAGGACCGTCGCCAAGTCGCAAACGCCCATACAACAATTCAGCCGCATACCACCTCACCGCCAAGGTGCAGCCAACGTGTGAAACATATGGTCACTTTCAAACGCCCCCACTGCAAAATGCAGGTGCAACAGTTTCTTGCAAGCCAAAGTGAATAGCAGGGTTGTCACAATGGTGCAAAACTTCAGGAAAGACACATCTGAAACTTCCCCACAAAGCACCATTGCACCTTGCAAACGAGACACCATGGCCGAGGCATTTCTCCCTGAACTGCATGTGGCGTTCTTCATAAAGCTCGTGTTGTCCCCAACAAACATGAGTGCGATCAAAAACTACCTCAAGAACCGAATTCGGTCCAACGATTCCAGAATTCAATTAAAAAATGATTTTCAATACACTGTCATGACTTTTTCTTTCCGTCACAAGCAGCCAATCTTCAGGTTAAGGATTGTGCATGGACTGGGAAACTGCCAGCTCAATGCTGCACCAGGAATAGTTACATCCCGGCATGAGTAAACTTTTGCATGTTTCATATTGTATTTTCCCACAACAGTTTCTTAGTCACCTCAAGCTGAAAAGAAATGCACGCCAATCGATAGCCATCAAGCACAATGATGCACCCAGTGAGACGGTATTCATTACGAGGCTAAACGAACAAAGGGATAACCATTCCAGGCCACCAGGATGGCGCCCGGACGGCACGAGGGACCAGTGACAATCTGGCCAAGTGGCATTCTGGCGAAATAATACTACTGCCTGCACCAAATCGATGACTGCTTGCACCAAATCACGTGCGCACTATGTCCTAACCTCAGTTTTAGGGTTGGGTTTAGGGTTAAGTTTTATGGTTAGGGTTTAGGTTAAGTTGGTTTTGGAGAGATTTGTTGCAAGCAGTCCCCGATTCGGTGCAGCCAGTAAGAGTAT